AGTTCCTTACTAATCTCTCATTGCCTGCCCTGTTCTTCTATAATATCTAGTCCACAGGCAACTGAAGTTACCTCATTTTAAAAATAAACTACTACACCAGGCAGTAGCTTTCGGTTAAGATGCTGATTAAGATGCCCACATCCGAGGGCCAGTATTGTGGCATAGCACATAGAGCAACTCTTTGTTACAGTGGCATCCCATGTGGGTTCTGGTTCATGTCCTGACTGTTTCACTTCCAATGCAGCTCTGCTGATGGCCTGGGAAAGGCAGCACAGAATGGGCCAAGTATTTGGGTTCTGGCCACCCATACAGAAGACTTCAATGAAGTTCTTAACTCCTGAATTTGGCGGCCAAGTGCTAACTGCTGGGGCTGTTTAAGGAGTGAACCAGCAAATAGAAATGTTCTGGGAAAGCAATGGAAGATGACCCAAACCTTTGGGCCCCTGTACCCATGTGGAAGACCCAGAAGACACTACTGGCTTCAAACAGGCTCAGCTCTGGCTGTTGCTGACATTTGGGAGTGAACCAAGTTTTTTTTTTTTTTTTTCCTTCTTAAGGATACTAAATGCAGTGTCCTAGATTGTATCCTGGAAAAGAAAAAAAGTACAAGTGGAAAAACTGGTAAAATCTGAGTATAGTCTGGAGTCAGCTTAATGTATTGGTATTAAATCTTACATTTGTCTTGACAAATGTAACACACTTATGCAAGATGTTACTTAACCCAGGTTCTCTCTCTCTTTTTTTTTTTTACTTTTGATGTTTACACAGTTGACCACAGTGAGAAGAGTCGAGAATCAGGGGAAAGTGGATGGGATCATTGTTTGCAAATTTTCTTTCTTCTTCTGTATCTGGGGAAAGGGTGAGGTTAGAGGAGAAGCCACAACCAGCCTCCCACATGTCTCAGTACCTGGGGTTGGAAAACAGCCACCTGATACCATCCCAGGATCCCTGATGTGGAGCACGTGCCACGGGTTCTGTTCAGGTGGTATTGATTGTTCTGAAATGCTGTCGATCTTATCGATCCAAGGATAAGAAAATCGTTGCAAGGTCCATTAGCTGACTTAGTGCACCTTAGAGTCTCCACTTGCCCAGATACTGGATGTCAACGTTTGGGTCGGGTAGTTGACCAATTTGTTCTGCTCTCCTTCCTCTGCTGTGGCACTAGATGTCCTCTTTAGGTCCCAATGAGCTGCCATAGCCTCCATTTGCATCTGGGCATGCTGTCCACTGCACCATCTTAGCCACTGAGGAGGCCAGTTCTGACACATGTACTCCACAGTCAGACCACAGATCGTGTGGTTCTTCTCGTGGCTGGAGTTCTGAGTCCAGTGGTTCAGTTTGTGGGATCCCCAAAGAAACTTTGTCTGACTTGACTCAGACTTGACTCTTTCGTGTGTTAGCCAGTACAAGTACAACTTGCTAGTAATATATTAGTATTAAAATCTTACATATGTTTTGACATGTGAGATGTCGCTTAACCCAGTTTCTTTTAATATTATATTGGAATTCTGTGTAGTATTTTTAAAATATATACATCTAAGATTTTTCCAACTAACGTTTATTTTTAAGGAAATAAGAGCAGAAAACACATGCACAATGAGAAAAGCCCAGAGCCAGAAGAGGGTCTTTTTGAAAGAAAATAAAAATTTATAAGTTCTTTGGGTGGGCATTTAGCCTAGCAGTTAAGATCAGTCTGTCTCCTGTGTGGGTAGGAGAGGACTTAGTGCTCGGGCCATCATCTGCTTCTTACCAGTTCACAGGAAGATGAGTTGCAAATAAGGTGAGACTTAGTCGGAGGTACTCCAGCATGTGGTGTCCGCCACAATGCCCAGTCCTTTCCAGAATGTTTAATCAACATAGCAGTCCCATATAACCCAAATCAAGATTCTCACATTCTAAACCAATGTACCTCTGTCTAGTGCCTGGCTCTAGTTCCTGGCTCCAGTTTCCTCCTAATGCTGGTTTCTGGAGTTAGCAGTCAGGACTGAAATAACTGGATTCCTGCTACCCTAGAGTGGGAGTCCTGGAACCGTTCCCAGTTTCTTGCATTGGCTGGGCCCCGTGCCAGCAAATGCCCACGTTTGGAAAGTGAACCAAGTATTTGCTCCCACTAAAATGATTTTTCTCCAAATCCTGCTTACAAGTCTTACTACGTAGAATTCAAAGCCTTGCCCTGATTATGGCTTCAAGGCTTTGCCCAGACTGTCCCCCACCTCCTAATCTGCCTGCTTTCTTTTTCTGGATGATTTTCTTTCAAATATTGTCAATAGGAGACCTATTGACCTTACTGTTCTCCCTTGAACTTACTGTTCTCACTACTGCTCTTTCCCCAGAAATTTTTTTGCATCAAGTTTTGTGCCCATTGTCATCAGAGCGCTCCTCACTAACCATCTTATCTAGAATAGAGACTTGGCATCATTTGTTCAGTGTATGCATACAATTCATTGATTTTTACTTTTTAGAAAATGCAGAGTTGTGATTGTCACAACCTAATTTTAAAACACATGTCTATATATATGTCTGTTCTTTTTCCTGCTTTATTGTTCAATTTTTCATTGTATGGCTATACAAGGATCATTTAAACATAAGTTGATGATATTTTGATTATCACAAATCATGCCCGTATAAAGATTCATGTATACGGTTTTGTAGATTATGTTTTAATTTCTCTCAAATAGATTCTAGGGAGAGGTCAGGGAGTTTTTATTGCCCCTAACCTTTAGTATTCTAGGGATACGATATAATTCATTTGCTAAAATGAAGTTATGATGGCAATAGGGTTTTTTGAGGTAAGGATTAATGGTTTAGTTTATTATTCCAAGGGGAATAGTGAAGATTGCTGATCAAGGGCAACTGAAAGAAATTTAAATGGTGTAGAGATTCCCACTGGAATTGAGAAAGTTTTATCTTTGTAGTTCTGAGAATTTCTTAGATATTTTGAGCAGTTTGGTAGACGTCTTTTGAGCTCAAAGGACAATTAGTTCACAATGAGGGTGTGTAGGCTTTAAGCAAAGGAGGTTGTGGTTAGGGTATGGTTATGATAAGGTTCTAATAGGGTTGGTTTGAGGTTGAAGATATTGCAGATTTTCTACATAGACATTTATGACTGAGGCTTTTTTATAGGAAGTAGAGAATGAGATTATCTAAAGCAAAATTTGACATGCAATGGGAAAAATGACTACATGTTAATTAGTAAGTAATAGCTAATAAGAGCACTTTATGGCAGAGTTGGCTTATTGTGGTTTGCACACCAACTCTGTCCTGCTGCCTGTTTTTGCAAGTAAAGATTTATTGTACATAGTCATGGTTATTTACGTATGGATGGTCTCTGTTGTCATGCGCCATTTGTAGAGTTGAAATGGATATTTAGGTCCATAAGGCCTAAAATTTTTATTAGTTGGCCTTTTAAGAAAAAAGATGACCAATCCTTCTGTGAGTCCTGAATTAGCAGGTGTATGAAGACTACCATCAGCTCTAGGCTGGGAAAAAATGAACAGTGAAGCAACTCTATGGACTTGATAAGACTTTTCCCCCAATCCCAGACTGAAATTCAGATTCTTCGGAGAGGAGGTTATAGCTATCACAGGAACACATGGCTTAAAATTGGCAAAAAATACTTGAGAGAGAACTTTAGGAAGAACTGTCAGAAAAAGAGGAGAATTTGGATTAAGGGCACAGATAGAGTTGGTCTTTGATAACCTCGGGTTCTTATACTGAATTTAAAAAAAAAAAAGGATTGGTATGCTGCTTCCTGCTTGTTTTCAGTGGTCCTGTAGTGCCCTCTATTGACAGATTTAAGATTGTGTCAACTGGCAAAGAAATGAAGGGTCTAGCCCTAACAACAGGAAGGAAAGCAGAATATAGAGTGAAAGACAGCAGAAGTGTTAGCAAACTAGAGAACTGGAAGGCAGACCTTAAGGCCCTGAGAACTGTGGGGTGGCTGGGTCTTGGAGAAAATGAGGTTGTTTCATTTAATCTTGAAGGTGAAAGGAACACTCAGTTTGTTATAGCTGAGCCTCAAGGGTGGAAAAATATAAATTTTTAAGGGTTAGTATGGTGCTGAGTTTCAGTCCGTTTTAATAGTACTTGCCATAAAACTTTTATGAGTTGGGCCCGGCACCATGGCCTAGCAGCTAAAGACCTCACCTTGAAAGCACCGGGATCCCATATGGGCGCTGGTTCTAGTCCCAGCAGCTCCACTTCCCATCCGGCTCCCTGCTTGTGGCCTGGGAAAGCAGTCAAGGATGGCCCAAAGCCTTGGGACCCTGCACCCGCATGGGAGACCTAGAGGAAGTTCCTGGCTCCTGCCTTAGGATCAGCACAGCACCAGCTGTTGCAGTCACTTGACGGAAGATCATCCCCTCTGTCTCTCCTCCTCTCTGTGTATCTGACTTTGTAATAAAAATAAATAAATCTTTAAAAAAAGTTTTGTGAGTTCATTTATTATGTGTAAGGGTAATTTTTAATGAAAAATTCTTAAATTTAAAACTTACACCTGGGTGACTTTACAGTGCATTTATGTATGATAATTAATTATATGTGGGTATGATAAAAGCAGTTGATCTTTGTATATAGAAGCAAGTGATAAAGTTGACTCATTTCCCATCCCGGTCCCCAGTGCCAGCCTCTGAAGAGCTTAGTCAATATCAGATTTTTGTAGGAGGGATAGAAGGATTGCTTTCATTGTGGAAATTATTCCAAAATGAGAGTAAAAGTCTTTTTAGTGATTTAGTAATTTGCTTATAATTTGTTTTATTTTAGATTCTAATATGAAATTACATATGAATAATTGTGTCAGTTAAAATTAGCCTTGTTTTTTCCTACTTTATTTTATGAAAAGCTATGATAGTTTTTTTAATTACAAAAGAGTAAAAATTATCTGTTCTTAAGCACAAGTAAAATGTCTGAATTCCAACTTCATTGGTGAAATTAATCTTTTAAATTCCACATGCTTAGTTTTTTTTTTCTCCTCTTTCCTTAATTCACTTTCTATTTTAAAGAACCAACACCGAGGAGTAGATCAAGTAATTAAAGCTGTGAGAAAAATCTGTAGTGCTCTAGATGGTGTGGAGACTCCTGCCATTACAGAGTCGGTGAAGAAGCTTAAAAGAGCAGTTAATCTTCCAAGGAGCAGAAGTTCTGAAGTAAGTGTTTTTAGTAATTGCCATTCTATTATATGCAAGTATATGCTTAAGTGAGCGTCTGTCATTTACACTGGGAAATTTTGCCTTCTGCTGGGCAAATTTTAGCATTTTAACTTTGACTTTTTAAATTTTTAGTAAATTATTTGAGAGACAGAATGAGCTCACGTTTGCTGATGCACTCCCCATAATAGCTAGATTGGTGAACTCAATCAGGACTCCCAGTCTATATTAGCATGAAGCAGTAGTCAGGAGTCCAAATTGAGTGTCACAGCCAGATGTTGTCATATGGACAATGGTCTCTTAACTGACAAACTATTAGTACAGATACCAGTGTGGTGACTTTTACTTTTGAGTTGATCACTTCTTTAGTTAGGTCGAGGATCTCTTAGTTTGGAGATGGACCATATTGGAAGAGCTTTGTGAGTTTCTAGCTAAGTTGGTTTGACGTTCAGAGATAGAAACTGAACTTGGAAGAGCTGGAGAGTTAGCTGCCACTTACCCCTCTGGATGGAAATATCGATTGCCAGTCGGGGAGTTCTTCAGGCCATCTCCCTTTCCTGTGAAAGCACCAAGACACCTGCGCAGCAGAGGCTTTTCCCCTTGCAAGCGGCCAGGTAGCCCCTCTGCTTATTAGAAGCTGTTGCTTCTAATGAAAGCCATACCTTCTGGTGTTTCCATGGAGATTTTATGGATGTTTGCATCTGTAGCAGAAGGATGAAAGAAAAGGTAGATCTCATAAGTCAGGTTTAAAGTAAGGTAAAGTTATGTTACTTAGACTATATTCATTTTTACTGAGATCCTATCTATGTTATATGGCAATTTTTGTTGCTCTTCTTGTATGCCTCTTTTTAGAAATTAATATATATGAAATTTTTCTGCTATCCTTGTCCTAATGTTATATGAGGCATTTATTCATTTTACTCAGTAGATAAAAGTAGTAGAGTAGGTGGCAGAGGAGTTTAACTTAAATAATTGGTAAGAGCCTTTTTGAGTCATTAATAAGAGTTCTAGATTTTTTAAAGGATATCCTTTTGCAATTATAGAGCAACTAATGAGAAATAAAATATTAGCATTTTTATCACTTGTGTTTCAAGTTAACAAGGCAGACAAATTGTAGCAATTTTCAGTTCTAATTTTCTTGATGCTAAAAATCATGCTTACCTGGTTTGGGATTTTTTCTCTTTGCATTCTTCACTGTTAGCTTCATTCCAATGCAACAGTGCAGTTTGTACTGAGAAGGGTTTCTGTGAGACAGCATTTAATTAACGTTTTATATTGTATGACTTGTTTGACTGATGTTTCCATCTGTGCAGGTGACTTCATTGTCTGGCGGGGACAGTAACAAGAGTTCGGCTGGAGGTATGTCTTTAAATTCGTTAAATTTTTGCATTATTATTGCTTCTGCATAATATAACATAATTAGCTTTTTTTTTTATATGTAGGTTCATTAAATCCTGAGAGTCCCATTCAAGTGAGCATGGACCAGTTAACTACAGCAATTTATGATCTTCTCAGACTCCATGCCAGTTCTGGCAGGAGCCCTGCAGACCTTGCCCAAAATTCTAGGAACACCAAGGAAGCATGGACAACAACAGAACAGCTCCAGTTTACTATTTTTGCTGCACACGGAATATCAAGTAACTGGGTATCAAAGTAAGTAACTGTTCAGAAGAAAATATGAAAGTTTAAGTGTCAGGAAGCACTGTTATCTTGGTGCTTAGATGGATATACAAGAATCCTTTTTTTTAAAGGCATCCATTTTTATATGAAAGGCAAAATTACAGAAAGAGGAGGGGTGACAGATTTTCTTTCTTTCTTTCTTTTTTTTTTTAATTTATTTATTTTTATTACAAAGTCAGAGGAGGAGAGACAGAGAGGAAGATCTTCCGTCCAATGATTCACTCCCCAAGTGACAACGGCCCGTTCTGTGCTGATCCTAAGACAGGAGGCAGGAACTTCCTCCAGTTCTCCCACGCGGGTGCAAGGTCCCAAGGCTTTGGGCCATCCTCGACTGCTTTCCCAGGCCACAAGCAGGGAGCTGGATGGGAAGTGGAGCTGCTGGGACTAGAACCAGCGCCCATATGGGATCACGGTGCTTTCAAGGCGAGGTCTTTAGCTGCTAGGCCACTGTGCCAGGCCCAGGCAGAGAGATTTTCTATCTGCTGGTTCACTCCCCAAGTGGTCGCAATGGCTGAAGCTGAGCCACTCTGAAGCCAGGAGCCAGTAATTTCTTCCAGGTCTCCCTAATGGATGCAAGAACTTAAGCCTTCCTCGACTGCTTTCCCAGGCCACAAGCAACAAGCTGGATCAGAAGTGCAACAACCAGGACTTGAACACATGCCCATATGGGATGCCAGCACTGCAGGAGGACGTTTAGCCTACTACACTATGGCAACAACCCAATAATCACTTTTGTGGGGCAGATATTCATGTTACAGTACCTGGTTGAACCCTATCTCCCTGCTTCTGATCTAGTTTTCTGCTGATGTGCATCCTGGATGATCAGCTGATGGTACAAGTGCTTCAGTCCCTGACACTAACAGGGAGATTCAGATTAAGTTCTGCACTTATTTATTTAGCTTGCTCAGAAATGGCTTTTGTGGGTATTTGAGGATAGAAATTTTTTTTTAAGATTTATTTTATTTTTATGGAAAGGTGGATATACAGAGAGGAAGATATTCCGCCTGATGATTCACTCCCTAAGTGGCTGCAACAGCTGGAGCTGAGCCAATGCGAAGCCAGGAGCCTCTTCCAGGTCTCCCATGCGGATGTAGGGTCCCAAAGCATTGGGCCGTCCTTGACTGCTTTTCCAAGCCACGAGCAGGAAGCTGGATGGAAAGTGGAGCTGCCGCGATTAGAACCAGTGCCCATATGGGATCCCAGGCGTGCAAGGCGAGGACCTTAACCACTACACCATCATGCCATCCTTTCTTTTCCCTTTCCTTTTCCTTTCCTTTTTGCTTTCCTTTTTGTCTGTCCTTTTTTTTTTTTAAGATTTTTCTTGGTGGGCCCAGAGCAATAGCCTAGTGGCTGGAGTCCTCGTCTTACATGTGCTGGGACCCCACGTGGACACTGGCTCATGTCCCAGTTGCTCTGCTTCCCATCCAGTTCCCTGCTTGTGGCCTGGGAAAGGATGGCCCAAAGCCTTGGGACCCTGCATCAACATGGGAGACCCAGAATAAGGTTCCTGGCTTCTGGATTCAGATCAACTCAGCTCTGGACACTGTGGCCACTTGGGGAGTAAATCAGCAGATGGGAGATCTTTCTCTCTGTATCTGCTTCTCTATGTATATCCTCCTTTCCAAGAAAAATAAATGAATCTTTTAAAAATAAGTTTTCTTTGTTTTTACAAAAATTGCAGATATTTTAAGTTGTTCAAATAAAACCTATCTGAATATACACAAAAGGTAGGAAACTTAAAAGAAGAAATTATGCTAATTAATAAATGAATTTCAGACTGTTCTTTTTTTCTTCTTTTTTCTTTTTTTTTTTTTTATTGATTACATTGCATTATGTGACACAGTTTTATAGGCACTGGGATTCCCCTCGCCCCTCCCCAACCCCCCCACTCCCTCCCCCCGTGGTGGATTCCTCCACCTTGCTGCCTTACCACAGTTGAAATTCAGTTGAGATTCTTTCATTGCAAGCATCTACCAAGCATAGAGTCCAGTATCTTATTGTCCAAGACTGCTATTTTTTTCTACTTTTCCTGTGGAACTGGGGAAATTTGAAAACAGAGCTGAATGGCACTAGACTTCTGGATGTTTTCCCCATTCATTTTTAGTTTAGCACTTTATAATTTATTTATTACTAAGCTTTTAGTTTTATTTATTTGAAAGACAGAGGGAGAGATAAGAGAGAGTTTTTTAGTTTGCTAAATCACTCCCCAAATGCCTGCAATAACAGTGGCTAAGCCAGGAACTCTGTCCAGGTTTCCCAAGTGCGCGTGCCATTGTACACTGCCTCCCAGATGCTAGCAAGAAGCTGGATTGCAAGTAGAGGCAGGATTTGATCCCACACTCTGATATGAGATGTAGAAATCACAAGTAATGACTTCATCTGTTGTATGGAAATGTCCCTTATATTAAATTTTTAATGTGATCTTTTCATTATAAATTATTTTTTCTTTAATCAGTGGTATAAAAGCATAGCAATTGTGAGGATTTGTATCATGGTGTAGTGGTGTATCATGGTGTAGTGGGTAAAGCTGGGCTGGTATGAAGCCTGGAGACAGGATCTCCTGGATATCCCGTGTGGATGCAGAGGCTCAAGAGCTTGGGTCCTCCTGCATTAGTTTCCCAGGCTATTAGCAGGAATCTTGTCAGAAGTGGAGCTGCTGGGACTCCAACTGGCACCACAGGGGGAGGCTTACTTGCTATTTTGCCACAGCACTAGCCCACAAAAAATAGCAACACTATTATTAAAGAACAGATATCCAAAAAACAGTCATAATGAATATGGAAACAAAACTAGTAAAATGAAATAAATAAGGGCAAATGTAATAAAATTGAGGAAATTGCCAAGGATAGTTATTTTGTGATCCCAAAAGATTTAAAACATTAAGATTTAACAGTAACCTAGGGCCTGGCATGGTAACCTTGTGGCTAAATCTTTCCCCTGCATCTGCTAGGATCCCGTATAGGACCTGGTTCATATCCTAGCTGCTCCACTTCCTATCCAGCTCCCTGCTTGTGGCCTGGGAAAGCAGTCAAGGATGACCCAAAACCTTGGGACCCTGTACCGATGTGGGAGACCCAGAAGAAGCTCCTGGCTCCTGACTTTGGAGAGGCTCATCCCCAGCCGTTTTAGCTACTTGGGGGAGTGAACCAGCAGATTGAAGAGCTTTCTCTTTGTATCTCCTTTTTCTGTAGAATGACCTTTATAATAAAAAAAAAATTTTTAAAGTTTACTTAGCATATATGAACAGAAACAGAGTAATGTGTTATCCCCACAGTAAGATTATTAGTAGGATATAATTATTTTTAACTTGTTGTTGTTGTTGTTGTTGTTTTTGTTTAACTCCCCAACTGCCTACAACAGTTAGAGCGAGGAGGCCAAGCTAAAGCCATGAGCCAGAAACTCCATTCACGTCTCCCATGTAGGTGGCAGGGATCCACTTATTTGAGTGAGCACCTGCTTTCTACCAGGGTGTACATTTGCAGCAAGTTGAACTTGAAAGTAGAACCAGGACTAGAATGCAGGCACTCTGGTGTGTGGTGCAAGAGTCCCAAGTAGTATTTAACCCCTAGGTCAAACACCTGCTACAGAATACAGTTCTGTTGTTCCTAAGGCTCTTAATTGTATGTGACTAGCTCTGTGCTTGTGGAAGTTGGAGCCAAGTCACTAATGTCTGATAAGAATACAACAGCACCTGTCACCATGGTAGGAAGCCTCCCAACAGAGAAGGAAGCTCAATGAAAGTCAGGCCTATGCACGATTTAAATATGCTTAGCTATTTCTCTGACTTAGTAAAGAAAAATGATGCCTAAAGAGTAACATTTATATTCCTTTTCTCTGGGATTCATCTAAAAACGAATACTTTGTTTGATGTTATTCAACTAAAACCTAAAGCCAAATACATTATGGTGCCCCTATAGACTGGAATCTGCTGCAAATGTTCCTCCTGTTATTCCTTTTGATGTGTCTGTTCTCTGTTCTCATAAAATTTGAAATGATCAAAATTTACATGAATTTTTAAAAATTTATTTTTATTACAAAGTCAGATATACAGAGAGAAAGAGAAACAGAGGAAGATCTTCCATTCAATGATTCACTCCCCAAGTATCTACAATGACTGGAACTGACCCAATCCAAAGCCAGGAGCCCTGAGCCTCTTCCAGGTCTCCCATTCAGGTACAGGGTCCCAAGGTTTGGGCTGTCCTTGATTGCTTTCCCAGGCCACAATCAGGGAGCTGGATGGGAAGTGAAGCAGCCAGGACACGAACCGATGTCCATATGGGATCCCAGCGCATTCAAGACAAGGACTTTAGCTGCTAGGCCATGGTGCTGGGCCCTAGATGAATTTCTAAAGATTGAAATGAATTAGGGGCCTGGCATGGTGGTGCAATAGGGTAATCTTCAGACTATAAGTGTTGACATGCAGTGGGTGCGCCTGTTCCAGCCTTGGCTGCTCCACTTCCGATTCAGCTCTTTGCTTATGGCCTGGGAAAGCAGCAGATTAGACCCAGTTGCTTTGGCCCCTGCAGTCACAGTCACATAGGACACTTGGAGGAAGCTCTTGGCTCCCAGCTTCGGTTCCACCCAGGCTCTGGCGATTGTAGCCATTTGGGGAGTGAATCAGGGTATGAAAACCTCTATTTCTTTCTCTGTAACTCTGACTGTCCAAGTAAAATACATAAATCTTTTTAAAAAATGAAATGAATAGTGGTCAAATTTTGTCAGATTTTAACCATTTTGAAAGAATTAACATTGTATACTTGTATTTGTTAGCTAACTTATATTATCAAGACAGAAATACAATTAAAATCTTTTTTTTTTTTTTCAGTTACGAAAAATACTATTTGATGTGCTCTCTGTCTCACAACGGAAAGGATCTTTTTAAACCTATTCAATCAAAGAAGGTTGGCACTTATAAAAATTTCTTCTATCTTATTAAATGGGATGAACTGTAAGTGAACTTTTTGGCCTTCTAATTCTTTGAGTGTACCCTATTCTTTTTTCCGTGGATTTTAGCACTGCTTACGTTGAAGTTCATTAAGTTGTCTAATCGATGTCTTAAGGTTTCTTCTAGATATGATTCTGTAAAATAGATAGAAATTCTCATTAAAATGTCAGATAATGCTTTTAACTCTGTATATTAGTACCTTGCAAAAATATGCCATTAATTCTCTTTGGCAAGTGAAAAATGTAAATTTATTTGTAAAAGATTCTAGCATGCTGATATAACATTGCTTAGTATTTTTTTCAGTAACACTATATAAGACTCTTTATTCTTGATTAACATATATCCAAGAAAATTAAAACCTAATGATCTTAAATTAATGTAAAACATGATATTATACACTATGAATTATTCTATTTTGTTTTTCAACTAAGGGAACTGTATCATTACTTTATACAGCTAGACAGTTGTACAACTTTTCACTATTCCACTTTTATTAAATGCTGCTCTGTTTTCCTTTATTATTTAAAATTACAAAAATGTCTGAAAGCAATTAAATAATACAAAAATTTTTAACAGCTTAAAATTTATTAGAGTAGGCATTATTGAGTTCATATATTCTTTCAAACTTAAAACAAATCACTGAAATATATAAATATTTGTGTATATATGTGTATGCTTATACCCCTAAACAGAATACTCATTATCATTCTACTAGTTGGTTTGTTAAAGAAATAAAAATGGCCACTGTTATTTTGCCTGGTAATTGACACTATATGTCTTAGGTAAAGATGCTTGCAAAAAGTTATGTTTTGTAATTCTATATTGTTAACAAAATCATTTTTAGTAATACAGGTTAATGAAACTTGATACCTAGTTTTAGGTTACCTCTTATTAAAGATTATTAAGTCAAATAAAGTACTTAACATGCTTTTACTTTAAAGCTTTAAGCTTCATTTTCTAATTTGGCTTTTCCTTCGATGTATTTTCTCTTCCTATAGAATCATTTTTCCCATCCAGATATCACAGTTGCCATTAGAATCACTTCTTCATCTTACCCTTTTTGGAATTTTAAATCAGAACAGTGGAAGTTCTCCTGATTCTAATAAGCTAAGAAAGGGTCCAGAAGTTTTGGGCAGAGTTTCTTTACCTCTTTATGACTTTAAGAAGTAAGTAGAATGGTTGTTTTGATGGATTACTATGGCCATATCTTCACATCAAAACTAAATGGTAACACACATGAGTTAAAGATCTTTGTTTTTCCAGTCTGATAAGAAGAGGTGAGTTCAGAAATACACAACAGAGGAAGCCAAAGTAATTTTCTGTAGGATTGAATGGAAGATTGTCACTATTCAGATTAAAAGCAACAGGCAATGACTATTCAAGAAAAGTACTGTGTTGACCTAATACCATGGTCTTAAAAAATTTCCGTGATAATTCACACAAACGTGCACAAAAAACTCCCAATTTTGTCTATTACCTGCCTTTTTTTTCCCCTGACTCTACTATATTCTTTAATGTTATGGAACACTGCTCATTAATCTCCAAAATCCCCATGTATGTAAAACCCCCTTTTTTTATTGAAGATTTTGTTTGAAAAAGAGAATTACAGAGAAAAGGAGAGATCTTCCAACTGCTGGTTCACTCCCCAAAATGACCTCATCATTGAGGGGAGTGCCAGATCAAAGTCAAGAGTCGAAACTTCTGAGTCTTCCACATGGATGCAGGCGCCCAAGTACTTAGGCTGTGTTCTGCTGCTTTCCCAAGGACCTTACTGGGAGCTATATTGAAAGTTAGAGAAACTGGGACTACAACCAGTACTCAAGAAACTGGGACTAGAACCAGTACTCACAGGGGATCTCAGCACTTCAAGTAGTGACTTGTGCTGTCTAGTTCTTTTCCTTCGCGGGAAAAGAAGTGCTTTTAAATGTGTGATTAAACACTGGATTTACTGCGATAACCAACATATAGCACTCACTGTGTGCTGGGCATTAGTCCTCTTGCCGTACACACACACTTATTCTTCTTACAGCAACTGAGAAGAGTTGTTGTTATGAACCCCTGTTTAATCCGGGAAATAGGTACCTCATAAAGTGCAGAGGTGAGTATTTTTCCACAGCGGAGTTAGCTAGTATAGGTGGAGTTGGATTTGAACCAGACAACCTGGCTCCAGGGTCCGTTCTTAACTATTATCCCATGTTACTCAGACTTATTTTATAAAAATATATTTTATATATTTAATGGTTGGAATACTAACATTTTAAATTCATTGCCATGTGAATCTAGAAAATTATAATTTATAAAATGAAAATTACAGTGTTTTTTTTGTTTTGTTTTTTTATATTCATGAAGATTTCTAACATGTGGAACTAAACTTTTGTATCTTTGGACTTCATCACATATAAATACTCTTCCTGGAACAGCCCCCAGAAAAGGATGCGTCATGGAAAGAATAGTGCTACAGGTAACGGTATTACTGGAAATCTTAGAGAGGCTTCAATTTAGATTTCTGTCTGAATAGTAGATGTTATGATTTGGGTTATTATTAAAGAAACCTACCTTTTTTTAATCTCAGCTCTTCAATTTAAATATCAATATACTATTTCCTATTTCAGAAAAACAAGCAAGCATTCATTCTCCCCAGGCCATAAATTCTATGTGCATTGAGAATTACCAACAGTGACAGTTATTTTCAGCAAAAACCCACAAATCAACAATTTGACATTTAATCAAACCTATGATTGCTAAGAAAAATCAATTAAATCACAGCCGATGTGTAGACAATAATCTTTTTTTTTTTCTAGGTTGATTTTCCTTCTCCTACATTTGATATTATTTATACAGCTCCTCAAGTTGACAAAGGAATGGTACAACAATACAGCTTAGATACACTGGAGAGTGATACAAAAGGGAAACTTCTGGACATTCTTCACAGAGACTCATCACTTGGGTATGCTCCATTTATTCTGTTTTCCCTGAGTATCTCCTACACTGCAAAGCCCAAGTTCAGGAGTTATATTAAATGCCCACTTAAGTTCATGATTAGCAGTGCTCTTGGTGTGGTAAGTTTTCTATTTTAAGAAGTTTTAAGAAGTTTTCTATTTAAGAAACTTCATAGTCTTCATAGACTATATGATTTCTAGAAGTTTAGAAATTTCTACTAGTTAACAGCAAAAGGCAAAACTGGCAGTATATTTTCAATTGATATTCATGAATTAATTTCCTTACTCTGTGAAGAACATTTTTTTTAATGGGAAAGTGAGATATCAGAGAGGAGGAGAGACAGAAAGATCTTCTGTCCGCTGCTTCACTCCCCAAGTGACAACAGTGGCTGGAGCTGAGTCGGTCAGGAGCCAGGAGCCTCTTCCATGTCTCCCACACGGGTACAGGGTCCAAGGCTTTAGGGCCATCCTTGACTGCTTTCTCAGGCCATAAGCAGGGAGCTGGATGGAAGTGAGCAGCTTGGATATGAACCAGCACACATAAGGGATCCCAGTGCAAACAAGGAGAGGACATTAACCACTAGGCTACCACGCCAGACCAGGGGATTTTTTTTTTTAATATTTATATTTTTTAAGATTTACAGATTTACTTATTTATTTATTGTTAATAACATTGTATTATGTGATACAGTTTTATAGGTGGTGGGATTCCCCCCACCCCTCCCATAACCCTCCCCCCATGGTGGATTCCTCCACCTTGTTGTGTAACCACAGTTCAAGTTCAGTTGAGATTCCTTCATTGCAAGCATATAAGGGAATATTTTTAAAATAGGATATGGGGGGCAAGTTGTTTTTTTTTTAAGATTTATTAGTAGTGAAATATTTCATCCATGTAAACATTTGTTCTTAAGCATAAAGCAATTAGAATCTCCAAAATAAGTCTTTTTCACTTTGAATATTCCTCAGTTCAATAGCATAATCACATTCTAAAATTTTATAGTAGCATTTGTTCTTTGTGTGGCATTTGATTTTACTTCTAAGAACTGGATGAAATCCTCGCTGTCACTTAGGGTGAGATCTACTTATGCAAACTCTGATGCCTTACATCTATTTTGTAGCTATATATATATTATATATATTATAATGTATTCTAATATATATTATATATAATAAATATATATTTTATATATAAATAATTTTTTTAAGATTTATTTATTTTTGTTAGAAAGGCATATGTACAAAGAGGAGAAGAGATAGAGAGGAATATCTTCCGTCCAATGATTCACTCCCCAAGTGAGCGCAATGGCTGGAGCTGAGCCAATCCGAAGCCAGGAGCCAGGAGTTTCTTCTGGGTCTCCCATGTGGGTGCAGGGTCCCAAAGCTTTGGGCTGTCCTCGACTGCTTTCCCAGGCCACAAGCAGGGAGCTGGATGGGAAGCAGGGCCGCCAGGATTAGAACCGGCGCCCATATGGGATCCCAGCACATACAAGGCAAGGGCTTTAACCACTACACTATCACACCAGGCCCAGTATATTTTTATTGTACTAAGACTGTTTCATCAAGGCAGAATGATTTATTTCCATCTCCAAATTAGGATTAATTAGTGCTACTTGCTGCATATTTTATTTTTCTATTGCAAATTAGTATTAATGGTTTTACTAAGTAGCTGTCCCAAATGAATGAATAATCATTGGGATTATAACTGTCATTATATCACTGATGAGTAAATTGAATCTATTATATGTGCAGACTTTCTAAAGAAGATAAAGCCTTTTTGTGGGAAAAGCGTTATTACTGCTTCAAACACTCAAATTGTCTTCCTAAAATACTGGCAAGTGCTCCAAACTGGAAATGGGTTAATCTTGCCAAAACTTACTCATTACTTCACCAGTGGCCTCCATTGTACCCTCTCACTGCATTGGAGCTTCTTGATTCAAAGTAAGTCTTTATGTAGTATTTCCTATATTCTGTTGTTGTCGGTGTAAGGAGCATAGTTCCCTTTTTAACTTTTAAAACAATTCAATACAGTGTAAATGATTCCATGTACAAGTATTTATACAATCAGCTTTTACATTGAAATGATCGAAAAAAGCATTTCATGAACAAAGTTTGAATAACTCATTACATTTTCATGATGTGAACCAAATTTAACGCTTCTAGATAATTGCCAAACTGGATCTGTATAGGCTTATAAGTCTGTTTTTTCCTAACAAGAGAAGAAGCACACTACTTTTGAATTTAGAGTTATTTGAATATTCTTTGTGAGCTTGGGATGATATTGTTTTCAGAAAATATAACTTAATAAGGATCACTATTTAAACCTTGATTTTGTGCTGTTCTAGATTTGCTGATCAGGAAGTGAGGTCTCTAGCTGTGACCTGGATTGAAGCCATCAGCGACGATGAGCTAACAGATCTCCTTCCTCAGTTTGTGCAGGTCAGCTTTTGCTAGATTCACTCTCTGCTTATTCTTCCAGTCTTTTTGAATAGTAAACTTGTGTGGAGGGACTCCCTTCTTTTTTTTACTAAATGTCATAGTGTGGTAGTGTTGAGAAGTCATTGCTTGTAGATTTAATGTTTTTTCCACTGTTGTCATCTGTCCCTATTTAAATATTGCATATATGCCTATATTGTTAATTCTCAGACTTTTTAATGTCTCAGAACAGATTTCAGCTTTTGACTTTTTTTTTTTTACTAGCCAGCAAACCATGATTCGTTAGTATGATTATTAAGTCTGTCTTTTGTACTTCGTTTCCTTGATTGGCCCGTGTTAATTCAGTTTTCATTTTTGTGTCGTCTTTTACCATTGACTAAAACGTGGTTTATATAGTTTCTTTTGGCCATTTTATGTAACAATTTATTATGGATTTAACCCCTGATAAATCTTTTTTTTCCCCTAGGCTTTGAAATATGAAATTTACTTGAATAGTTCTTTACTGCATTTCCTTCTGTCCAGGGCATTAGGAAATATACAGATAGCACACAGTTTATATTGGTAAGATTAAAACTTTATTAAGTACTTTATTTCCATTTTTGGAGCTTCTGTGTTTATAAGCCTGAAAGCTGGGGCTGGTGTTAGGTTATAGCAGTTGAAGCCACTGCTTAAACCATCACATATCAGAGCACTAGTTTGAGTCCTTGGCTGCTCTATTTCCAGTCCAGCTCCCTCATGGTGTAACTGGGAAAGTAGGAGCACACGTGCCTCTTATGGGAGAGCCAAATGGCATTCCTGGCTCCTGGCTTTGAGTTGATCTGGCCACAGCCATTGTGATTAGCTGGGGAGACAGCCAGCAAATAGATCTCCATCTCTCCCCACACTCCTCTCTCTGTTACTCTGACCTTCAAATAAATAAATCTTAATGTCTAAAAGGTATGCCCAGAATACTTAGTATGGATATTGAATGTTTTGTTGACTGACTTTATTTTATATCTTTAGAAATTGCATCAAAAATAACAAACCATTTATTGTACAATATGTGGTCTGTTATAGCTCTGTAAATAATTTTAATTTGCTTCATAACTTAAAATAACTTTTTACACATTAAAATTGAGCTTGTTAAATTAATTTTTGAGAGAAGCTCATCTAGTTCACAACAGTGGCTAATATAAATATTTTGCTGTTAGGCTTCTCAAGGATGCTCTGCATGATGCACAGTTTGGGGCCCGCTATGAACATGTTTTGGGTGCTCTCCTCTCAGTAGGAGGAAAAGGACTCAGAGAAGAACTTTATAAGCAGACGAAACTCGTTCAGCTTTTAGGAGGAGTAGCAGAAAAAGTAAAGCAAGCTAGTGGATCAACCAGACAGGTATGTACCCATAAAAGAGAATGTAAATGTTTTGACATGCTGACGAATTAAGTTGTTACTCTCTCTCAGCAGATTCTCAATAGACTAACAACGCTGGCACTTCTTTGGGTGGGTAGAATTTACGAAAAGTTTCACAGCCCGACTCAAAATAAGAGGAGCACTGTTTACCTACCATGTTTTATAATCCATTTCTGACTGAAACTGTTCTCCAAATATTCTTTTGCAGTATCTTGTTTATAAATTTTTTTTGTGATTATGAAAATATGTATTGATACTTACTTATTTTAAATCCAGAGAATAAAGTTTGTAGAAAAAAAAATGAGGACTTTAGAAGTTCTTTTTCCCTGTAGGCATCTGTGGTTAAATTCTTGCTGTGTGTTCTTCCTAGTGGTCATTTTATCATTTTTATTTGAAAGGCAGAGTTGCAGAAAGAGAAGGAAGATACAGAAAAAAAGGGAGAGGGATCTTCCAATCCGATTCACTTCCCAAATGGTCAAAATGGCTAGACCTGGGACAATCTGAAGCTAGGAGCCAGGAGCTTCTTCTGGGGCTCCCACGTGGGAGCAAGAGCCCAAGGACCTGGACCATATTCTGTCCTGCTGCTTTCCTAGGCCATTAGTAGGGAGATGGATTGGAAGAGCCAGGATATGAATCCCTGTCCATATGGGATACCAGCACCACAGAGTCTTACCCATGGTGGTGGCCCCAAATCCTTTTTTTTTTTTTTTTTAAAGTTGGAAAGGCAGAATACAGAGAGGAGTTAGAGAAAGATATTCCATTTACTGGTTTATTCCCCAAGTGGCCACAAAGGCCGGAACTGAGCAGATCCAAACACAGGAGCCAGGCGCTCTTCTGGATCTCCCACATGGATGCAGGGTCCCAAAGCTCTGGGCCATCCTCTGCTTTCCCAAGCCACAAGCAGGGTACTGAATGGAAAGTGGAGCATCCAGGACATAAAAAGGCGCCCATATGAGATCCCAGCAGTTGTAAGGCAAGGACTTTAGCCACTAGGCCTCCACGCTGGGCCCAGCTCTCAATCTTGGAAATTTTCTTTTAATTCTATAGAAACAGAATTGCATTACACCGACATGTCTAACCATACACATTTAGTTGTTGTTGTTTTTGTTTGTTTGTTTTTTGAGGTACAATCTGAAAAATACTGTAATTTTAAAATATGTAGGTATTTATTTATTTGAAAGGCACAGTTAAAGAGAGGGTGGGGAAGGTGTCTGCCAGCTGTTGATGCACTCTATAAGTGACCTCAGTTCTTGGAGCTGGGATAGACCAAAGCCAGGAGCCTGGAACTCCATTTGGGCCTCCTGTGGGTGTCAGGAGTCCAAGCACTTGGCCATATTCTACTGTCTTTCCAAGCATGTAGCTGGGAGCTGGGTTAGAAGTTGAGCATCCAGTGGTTGGACTGGTACTCATCAGGGATGTTGGCAACCCACTGTGCCAATGCTGGTCCCAGTGCTGCAGTTTTAGTAATACTTAATTTTCCTGTTCACAGATACAATGTGTATTTCTATGTATTTGAGTATTTTTAAATTCTTTTCAATAGTTATACATTTTTCCCCCAAATAGTGCTATAATGAACATTGGTATATAACCTTTTACCTCTTGCTTAGTATTTTTTTAACATGTTTCTATAGAATACCTGCTTCAAGAACTCTGCACAATTTTCTCTGACTAGACCTAATAAATGAAATCTTACATCTTATTTTTGTTGAATTCCTCTTTCTGTTAATGAGCATTAACATTTTCATTTATGTTTTAAATGTATTATGCTATGTTTATACCTTTACCTATTCAAAGTTTATTTTTACAATAAAGATTAGTAAGAATTCTTTTTGGCCATTTGATAGATATATGATTTATGACTTATAAGCACAGCATAATTTGTCCTCTTAAAAAATAAACATTATAAATACTTACAGTATCAATCTCTTTCCATAGGTTGTCCTCCAAAGGAGTATGGAACGAGTACAGTCTTTTTTTCTGAGAAATAAATGCCGTCTCCCTCTCAAACCAAGTCTAGTGGCAAAAGGATTAAATATTAAGGTGACAAAATACTTACAAATGCATAGATTTTAACATGAAACGTAGGAAAAAGACCACTGGGCAGGTATACTTAAAGCAAACAAGGATACATTCTACATAGGTTGACTATAAATATGTGTATTTGTGAGTAGCATCCTATTCATCTCAACATGCTTTTACCTAACCACCATTCCTAAAAGAAAAACTGTAAAATTATGTTCTTTGTGTTTTGTTTATTTCATTAAATTAGTATCATTGTCTTGAATTAGCATTTTAGGTTTTTGTTTGTTTAGTCAGGGCCAGGCTGTAGCTAAGAGTCAGGCACTCCATCCTGATCTCCCAAGCCTGTGGCAGGGTCTCTGCTTTCCCAGCCTCTTAGCAGGAAGCTGGATTGGCAGAATAGTCAGGGCTCCAGCTAGTACTCTGAAATGGGATGCTAAACCTCCTGTGCCACATTGCAAGCTCCTGGTTGATCTCATTGTAAAATAAGGTTTAATTGTGCTAATAAAATTATGAAAACTTTTATAAATATTTGATTCCATGGCTAATAATTATAATAGTGCTAAAAGTAAGAGAATGAAGATCTCATCCCAGATCATAATGAGTTAGGAGTATTACAAGACTTTGGGGTCTCTGAGGAATTAAAGGAATTAAAAGCTTAAACTAAAAATTTTTGTCCCAAGTTTGAAGTTTTGCTTCTCTGTCTAGGAAGATGTTTTACTTTTTCTATTTAAGTTTCAAAAAGTAGTTTACTTATATATGTATAAGCATATTTTTGTAAAAGTATATATACATGTATAAATATATGTATAATATGCCAAATAATCTAGAAATCAGTTCCTGATTTTTATTTGCCATAATCCAGAGAAATACAGGGAAAATGCCTGTTACACAAATGCCTATAAGCCCATTTTTATTCCAGTGTTATCTTTCTTACACTTAACATGTTGCATTTGTAGTCATGCTCCTTCTTCAGTTCTAATGCTGTGCCCCTAAAAGTCACAATGGTGAATGCTGATCCTATGGGGGAAGAAATTAATGTCATGTTTAAGGTGAGCAAAATAAACTTTCCTTTGCTCAAATTCCTTTCCAAAGTTATAATTCTGCATATTTAATATTTAATGAAATTGCGTGATTATGAAGAATCAGTGTGGTTGCACATGGCCCTGCTGGCTGAGCATATTCATTACTGCAGACAATACCTTCCACATAGACTTGAATGTGGTTGGTGCCCCGAGCCTTGCAGTACAAAATGGCACAATCATGAGCTGTGGCACTGCATTTTGGAAACATAAAATTATCTGTAGGGAGCAACAGGAATAGGTTACTACAAAGTAATTTATTGTCTGTTAAGATTCTGTTTGTCCTAATCATAATTTGTATAGTTTGCAGAAAGTATGGAATGGTTTTAGTTTAATTCAGTGAAGTTCATGAAGATAATTTCTGTTGAATCACATATATATTTGATATCATTATATAGCAAGTTCCCATATAATCAGATCTGGTCTTGGACTCTATTTTTGTTTTAAAACAGTACCACTCCTTTTGATTATAGAAATTTTATGTTCAATCTACTTTATTCTTCATAATTTTCTTGGCTACTCCCAAAACATGTCCATAATTATTTTACCCAGTGTTAAAGGAGAATGAAAAGTTGTTGGGTTCCAGTTATGGAGGGGTTTGGTTTTGAGGTGACTAGCTCCATAGACAATTCTACCATGTCACAGAGAGAGCTGGTATACACTTTACCCCTGTTTCTCCTCATGGTAACAGGTTACATCATTATTGTGCGATATTATAATCAGAATGCTAGTGTTCATGCATCAAGATGTAGGGGATCTCAAAGATCTCCAGGTCGGTTGCTTTTTTTTTTTTCAAACAAATAGATCTCATCCGCCCTAAAATTCAACATTTTAAATTATACAGAAGAATTTCATTTTTTCTAGATAAGACGATTTTATTCACGTTGTGCTTCACACTTTTAATATTTCCTTCTCTTTGACCCTCAGCTTTTGTAGTATAATCTGTTGTCTTTAGGAAGGGTACAGCTTTCATCTTGTTTCCTTGATTCCAAGGTTGGAGAGGATCTTCGTCAAGACATGCTAGCTTTACAGATGATAAAGATTATGGATAAAATCTGGCTTAAGGAAGGACTAGATCTGAGGATGGTGATTTTCAAGTGTCTCTCAACCGGCAGAGATCGAGGTAAGTCCATTACCTATCTTGATATTTTCAGTTTTTGATTTTTTTTCCTGTTACTGTAGCTCACAAGATAGACTGCTCTAAGTACCCTGACACACAGTAGGCACAGTAGTTTCTTTTTAAATTTAATGTTATTGTTGATTCACTTGTTCAAGATTAAATCTCCTTTTTTTTAAGATTTATTTTATTTTTATGGCGATGTCAGATATACAGAGAGGAGGAGAGACAGCAAGGAAGATCTTCCGTCCAATGATTCACTCTCCAAGTGACTGCAACAGCCAGTGCTGCGCTGATCCAAAGCCAGGAGTTCTCCGGGTCTCCCACGTGGGTGCAGGTTACCAAGGCGTTCGGCTGTCCTTGATTGCTTTCCCAGGCCACAAGCAGGGAGTTGGATGGGAAGTGGAGCAGCCGGGATTAGAACCAGCGTTCATATGGGATCCCGGTACGTTCAAGGAGAGGACTTTAGCCACTAGGCCAAGGTGCTGGGCCCGTTTAAATCTCTTAAAAAGAGCTCTGTGCAGAGCCCAAGAAATGCTTTGCAGTATCCACGCATAGCCAGCTAATAATTTACCCAGATGAGCTTTTCAACTTACAAAGTCCCATCCACTGTTAATCTCTTCACATGGCTGCAAAAGCTAAAGTTGGGCTGTGGCCAAAATGGGTGCTACAAACTCAGTCCAGGTCTGTCATGCAGATGGCAGGAACCTAATTGTTTGAGCCATCACTTGCTACCTACCTACCATGATGCACATTATCAGGAATTGAAATAGGGCCCGCTGCGATGGCTCAATAGCTAAACCCTCACCAGGATCCCATATGGATGTTGGTTCGTGTCCCAGCTGCTCCCCCTCCAGTCCACCTCCTGGTTTATAGCCTGGGAAAACAGGGATGGCCCAAAGCCTTGGGACCCTGCACCCACATGGGAGACCCAAAAGAAGCTACTGGCTCCTGGGTTTGGATCAGTTCAATTTCGGCCATCCCAATCTCTGTCTCTCCTCTGTAAATCTGTTTTGTGTTTCAATCAGAACTAAATAAATCTTTAAGAAACAATAATAGGGCCCGGTGCAGTAGCGAAGAGGTTAAAAAGTCCTTGCCTTGAACATGCCAGGATCCCATATGGATGTTGGTTCTAATCCCAGCAGCCCTGCTTCCCATCCAGCTCCTTGCCTGTAGCCTGGGAAAGCAGCTGAGGATGGCCCAAAGCTTTGGTGTTCTGCATCTGGATGGGAGACCTGGAATAAGCTCCTCGCTCCTGGCTTCAGATTGGCTCAGCTCCAGCCATTGCGGCCATTTGTTGAGTAAACCATCGGACAGAAGATCTTACTCTCTGTCTCCCCTCATCTCTGTATATCTGCCTTTCCAATAAAAATGAAATAGGAAGGAAGGGAGGGAGGGAGATGTAAAGATCCCAATTAGTCCACTCTTCCCCCTTTCACCAGCCTGCTAGGCTTTGACTGTTTCCTCCAGTCCTTTGCCCAGACCAGGTATGTTTCCTTATCTTTTATTTTGACATGACTGCATTATCTTATACAAAAAGATAATCTTGAAATTATGGCAGCATATACATATATTAAGTATCTAGATAACTTGAATCAGTTGAAAAGTTTATCTCAGTGTTCTTTCATATCTGTTTTCAATCTAAAGCATCCTTTTTCCAAAATAAAACTGCTTTGTACAGACATTGTTACACTGCAAGTTAAGCTGCTGGTTTAATACATCTCCATACTGAAATAGAAAAACATATCTTATAAATAACTTTACTAGTGAAATCAATCTAGTTTCTAGTTTAAACTGGTTTTTCTTTGGGGCTTAGCACATTCATATACAGACTACAGTCTCAAGTAGTGCAAATCAAATCTTTATGTATTGGGTAAATTTGAAAATAAAAAATAATGTTGATGATTTACATCTTCTAGCATGGCCTGCCAAATTTTGAGAATGATAATTGCTAGCTGGCATCTTATATTGGAGATTGGAAGCTATAATTTAAAATGTTTTCACGTACATTAATATTTTTTGTTAAAGGCATGGTGGAGCTAGTTCCTGCCTCAGATACCCTCAGGAAAATCCAAGTGGAATATGGTGTGACAGGATCCTTTAAAGATAAACCACTTGCAGAGTGGCTGAGGAAATACAATCCCTCAGAAGAAGAATATGAAAAGGTGATTAGCCTGTCTCCTTTTTCTAAGTAACTGTGTCAAAAATATATTATGAAGGTTTTAAATGATTTCAGTTTCTAAATAGACATTTAGTCTAAATAAGAAAAACTGTTGAAAAGCATATAAAGTAGAATGCATTTAATAGCAAGAATATTACTGGAACCAATGTTGAATTACTCAGAAAAATATTCCATGCACTTAAAGGTCAGCAAAACAAGTGTTTTTATAACTCACAATGTTGTAGTTCCTGAAGATTTTGGAAGAAGTTACGGAAGTGAGTGAAAATAGCTGCATCATGTGGTAGTTAAGATCAGGGTTTATGAGCCAAAATTTCTGGGCTTGAATTTATGCTCTAAATTCCCTTACAGGGTTTTGGGCAACTTATTTAACCTCTTACTGCCTTAGTGATTGCTACAGTAAAATATTATTGCATATATTGTGGTGTTATGGTACATACATGTCTATAATAGTATAAAAATTTTAAATGGACTAAATAGGTTATATATAAAGCACTGCATAGGGAATATTTTATAATTCATAGCTCTTATTTTAGGAAACGTCAACTATTGTTTTAGTCTCAATTTGAGTTATATTTGAGGAGTAATCAATCTCTTAACATAGTAATGCCTTCTTAGTATTTTTTTTTAAAGATTTATTTATTTTATTGGAAAGTCAGATATACAGAGAGGAGGAGAGACAGAGAGGAAGATCTTCCGTCCGATGATTCACTCCCCAAGTGAGCATAATGGCCGATGCTATGCCAATCCAAAGCCAGGATTCAGGAATTTCTTCTGGGTCTCCCACATGGGTGCAGGTGTCCCAAAGCTTTGGGCCGTCCTTGACTGCTTTCCCAGGCCACAAGCAGGGAGCTTGATGGGAAGTGGAGCTGCCAGGATTAGAACCGGCGCTCATATGGGATCCCGGGCGCATTCAAGGCAAGGACTTTAGCCGCTAGGCCATCGCGCCGGGCCCCTTCTTAATATCTTAATTTGGCTTAAGAAAGACTCAAGAACACTTAAAATAATGATGTAAGCTGACCCCAATTTAAGTGTTGACATCATTCTTTAGAGACAATTAGCTGCTGGCTCTCTGTGGCTCTTTTAAACTGTAAGATTGTGTCCTTTATGACCTGGGAAAGGCAGTGCAGCAGAGGCCAATATTTGTGTATTGTAATATTGGTCCTTCATAAGTTTTTTATCACACATTAGCTGTCAGTTAGCATGTGGGGAAAAAACTTTGTTGCATTTTGCAATAGTACCTCATAGATTTACTGTGAAATGTGAAGAGAAAGAGAAAGGTGTTATTTGCAGTATTAACAAGACTGTTACTGTTTCAGATAAAGACATTCACTTTTTGTATCTCACTGTGTCCTTCCGTATGGTATTTTATTACTAATTCTAGTAGTTCTCAAGACTCACAGGACTTCTTTAACTACTTAAAGGCCCCTGAGATATTTATAGGTGACAAATACAGAATCAGCAAGCAGGGAAGCAGAAGACATTAGTCTTTATAATTGGATGCTTTCGGATGCTTTCTTTATACGTGTCCTCCCTAACAGAAGAGTACAGGTTTTTCTCCTATCCAGATTAATTTTGTTCCAATGATATCATTCGTGGTAAATAGTTGAACCTGCAGAACAGTGTTCTACAAATATACTTAAAAGCTGTTCCAGGACAATGCCTACCTCATGTACAGACTGGCAGGATCCCTGTCAGGTAGAAATAACACTGGAGAAAAGGACAGTGATGACCTATAGAAGGGAGTTTTTGTTTTTGAAATGGAATGCGCTGGCTTTTATTACTGTAACCCAGTTTATATACCTGTTGGTAGAGTGAATTACAGCAGTATTTTTAAACAGTGATGAATTACTCTTCTTTTACAAATAATTCCTTTCTTAAATAATCTTATGTGTTTGTTACAGGCTTCAGAAAATTTTATCTATTCTTGTGCTGGATGCTGTGTTGCCACCTACGTTTTAGGCATCTGTGATCGACATAATGACAATATAATGCTTCGAAGCACAGGACATATGTTTCACATTGACTTTGGAAAGTTTTTGGGCCATGCACAGATGTTTGGTAGCTTCAAGAGGTATTGCTGTTGCTATTATGGGCTGTGACTGAGTTTTGCTTTTGCTGTCTCTGAGCAGACGGGTGGCAGATAGGCCCAGAGAGATAACTTACGGTAAAGAATGCACAAAGAGTCTATGCAAACGTTGTGGAAATGAATTAAGGCATATTTTACTTGATGCAGGCTGTGGTTGCTTGCATCTGTTAGAAACAATTTCATTTGTGTAATGGCAACCAGTACAGATTTTTTTTTTCTCTATATGTATTTATAATTAGTGTTTGTGCTCTCCTTGGAATTGTGAATTTATAAATAGCACATTGAGAGAATTGCAGTGTAAGTTCTAAGTAATGAAATCATTATGTGATGACTTTTCTTGAAAATGTGATTTTTTTAAGCATAGAAATTCAAAACTACCTAATATGAAGTTTCCTAGTTGGAAATTTGTAGAGTTCCAAGAGACGAGTTTAATATGCCCTATAATAGTTACAGCACTGTTTGAACATCTTTTGTAACTAATGCTTTGCTTGTACTTCATTTTGCATAGGGATCGGGCTCCTTTTGTGCTGACTTCCGATATGGCTTACGTCATTAATGGCGGTGAAAAGCCCACCATCCGTTTCCAGTTGTTTGTGGACCTTTGCTGTCAGGCGTACAACTTAATAAGAAAGCAAACAAACCTCTTTCTTAACCTCCTTTCACTGGTAACTATTCTTGACAAGCATTTAAATAATTTTATATTAATGCATTTGTGTTTCTAAAAACATTAATTTTGTGATTTTCGAACAAATTTACGGTTGTCATAAATGTCAGCTACCTGATTATACCTTTGTATATCATTTGTTAGTAAAAAGTAAAAAGACAAAAACCAAGAAAGCTCTGCTAGGATTATTGTGACTAAAATTGATACAGTAATAAAAAAACAGAGGCCTTAAAATGGGAAGCCTGCATGTCACAGCTTTTATGCCCTACCCTGGCCTGGATCGCCAACACACGGCTTGGATGCCTTGGCCTTGACTGTTCCCATTTGTGAAATCATCACGTAGGTCTCCAGAGCACCAACAAACTCCTCACAGCTGCAGTTATTTTCTTGGTTTTAACTGCTTGACCAGCTTTCAGGGAGGTTGGGGAGCAAAAATGTAACCATTTTTTTTTTCTCTTCTATAGATGATTCCTTCAGGGTTGCCAGAACTTACCAGTGTTCAAGATTTGAAATATGTTAGAGATGCACTTCAACCCCAAACTACAGATGCAGAAGCAACAATTTTCTTTACTAGGTCAGGCATATTTAAATATATTGAGAAAGCAGTTATAAGTTGGCCTTAATTAATTTTACCTTAGTTTGAATAAATGTCATATCAAGAAAAATATTTTTTTTAAAGATTTATTTTTTTTATTATTATTTTTTTATATTGGAAAGGCGGATATACAGAGAGGAGAGACAGAGAGGAAGATCTTCCGTCCGATGATTCACTCCCCAAGTGAGCCGCAACGGCCAATGTTATGCCGATCCAAAGCCAGGAGCCTCTTCCAGGTCTCCCACGCGGGTGCAGGGTCCCAAAGCTTTGGGCCGTCCTCGACCGCTTTCCCGGGCCACAGGCAGGGAGCTGGAAGGGAAGCGGGGCTGCTGGATTAGAACCAGCGCCCATATGGGATCCCGGGCATGCAAGACGAGGACCTTAACCACTTGCGCCACTGCGCCGGGCCCGAAAAATATTTTTATATATAAAATTTTTTGCAGGGAAAAAGTTATGATTAACAGTAAGTTGTCAAAAGTTTACTGAGTAAATGCAAAAGATTTGTAATAGTGCTTTTAAAAATAATTTCTCGGTCCCAGTACAGTAGCCTAGTGGCTAAAGTCCTTGCCTTGTATGCCTGGGATCCCTTATGGGCACTGTTGGTTCATATTCTGGCTGCCTCACTTCCCATCCAGCTCCCTGCTTGTGGCCTGGGAAAGCAGTTGAGGACTGCCCAAAGCCTTGGGACCCTGTATCCACATGGCAGATCTGGAAGAAGCTTCTGGCTCCTGGCTTCTGATCAGCTCAACTCCAGCTGTTGTGGCCACTTGAGGAATGAACCAGGGGATGGAAGATCTTCTCTGTCTCTTCTTCTCTCTGTAAAATCTAACTTTCCAGTAAAAATAAATGTATCTTAAAAAAAAAATTTCTCAAAATATCTCAAAGCTTAGTATATTATTTCAATTATAAAAAAATTGCTTGTGACCTTTTTCTGAGAAACATGTTTTCTGCAGTGCCATGTACTTCTTTAAAGCTTCTTTCTAAAATTATGTGTTCTAATCTGTTCTTCAGAATTCTGTCTTAACAGTTGGCATGGATATCCTCAGTGCTTAACAGCCAGCTCTGGGACAGTATTGTAGTACAGTATCCCTTATAGATAGCATAGTGCTTGAACTATATGTACTAACGACTGGCAGTTGTGTTTGTCATTATAGCCTTAAAAGTAATTTTGGGGGAAAAGATATTCCAAAATTCTAGTGACCAGGTTGCTACTGCCACATCATCCTAATGCCACATGGGGAAGGCTGAGGACATGGAGCTCATGTTCTTTTTTCTCCTTTTTTTCTTGCCTTCTTCCTCGCAGTGAAAGAGTTATAACACACTGCACTGCACTTCTCTAGTCTCAGCAGTCTGGGCTGAAATGATTGGAAGGAAGCTGACTTTTATACAGCCTTCCATACTAACCCCGACAATTTAGGTATAGATGAGTTCTGTTTGCTTTAAAAATTCTTTGGTTTCCCTGGGCAAAATTACAAAGCAGGCGTGTATTCATCTACTTGGAGTGTAGACTTGCTGTGGGCTTAATCCATAGCAGTTGATTTCCTCACAGTTTTGTTGTCCCAGATTAAGGTACTAGTGGTTCTTGGTGATGGCTCCTTTCTCAGATTGCAAATGACTACCCTCTCCTTGTATACTCACATGATAGTGCAAGTGCAGACTCTGCTTTTGTCTCTGCCTCTCAGGACACTTCTATAGGATCAAAGCTGTACCTTTATAACTTCATCTAACCATAATTACTTTTTGACCCGGTCTGTCTCCAAACATAGTAACATTAGGACGTGGGGTTGAACATAAAAATTGGAGGGAATACAAATATTCATTTATTTTGTAGCAAAGCGCAAACCTGTGTTTGAAATTTTCTTCTCATTTTGATTCTCCTACTTTCTGCATTTCTATACTCTTTTTTTCTAAGTCTTTGTTTCCTTTGTAAGACTAAAATGTTTTTGCCAGGCCTTACAAATTGTGTCCATCAAACTTCCCACTCTGTTAAGACTTCTTTTCCCAACTGAGTGAAAATTTGATTGTTTAAATGGGCCTGACCCTAAATTCTACTATTTAATAGGAAATAAGTTTCCAGTAGTTGTCACCTCTGGCTTTGTTATAAATGAATAAGATAAAAATCATCTTCTCAACATTGTAAGAACCATCTTCTGTCTAGTAGTTGCTAAATTAATCTTTGATCCAACAAGGTTCAAGAAAACCAAGTGTCATTTCTTGTACTAAAGTTTTTTGTTGGGAAGAAATGTATTTTAACAAGCCTTTGGCCTGTAGAACAAAGGGAATTCCTGACAAAGAGAGTTGGCCTCCTCATTAAAGGAACAGAAGTGTTCTTATTATGTTAAAAAAAAGTAAGCATGTCTTCATGAGTGTTTTTTGGTAACAAGCCCTCTGATTATTCCATAGGCTGATTGAATCAAGCTTGGGGAGCATCGCCACAAAGTTTAATTTCTTCATTCACAACCTTGCTCAGCTACGTTTTTCCGGTGTTCCTTCTAACGATGAGCCCATCCTTTCATTTTCACCAAAAACATACTCCTTCCGACAAGATGGTCGAATCAAGGAAGTCTCTGTCTTTACATATCATAAGAAATACAACCCAGATAAACATTACGTAAGTTTGATTTCAATATTTGTAGACCATTGATGTAATTACATTACTGTTACCCTTTGTGCTTCCCTCTGCCCAAAAGTTCTAAGCATTTGGCAGTGGGCATTTGGCTTAGTGGCTAAAACACCCACATCCCACCCATACCTGAGTGTCTGGCTTCAGTACCTACCCCGGCTTTTCACTTTGTCTTCCTACTAATGCAGACTGAGGGATTTAGCACTAATGATTCAAATGATTGGGTCCCTGCCACCATATAGCAGACCTGAATTAACTTAATGGCAGCTGGTGAGTGAGTGAAACAGCTCACAGGAGCTTTCCCTGTCACTCACTCCCTCTTCCTCTCAAATACGTAAATATATTCTTAAAGCTCCAAGCATTCTTTCTACTCAGGCTTGTTTCATAAAAAGGGTGATTGAAAAGTATGCAAATATAATTGGAACATCTCTAGTTTTTAAATATATGTGTTTGTTTGTAAACTTGCTTTGTACTGAGAACTAAATGATATTCTTCTCAGAGGTAAGGTTATACAAGTATTGCTACTCTGTTTTTCTCAGTCTTTTATCTTTAATTTTTTCTTAATTGAGAGGTTAAAACTTGCTTCTAACAAATTCAGCCAATAAAGAAGTATACTGAAGTAAAAAGTGTGTATCTTCTGTTCTGCTCTCTGGTAAAGTACTATCCTCACAGTTTTAGAACCGAATTGTGACTATACCTTCCTGTCCTTGAGAGTGGGACACCATCAGTTTTGCTGTTGTTTTTCACCCTAGTGCTGATAGTTTTGTTGGGTAATACTTTATAGCACTGTCCATTTTAAAAGTAGTAATCTTTCTGTATTTTATCTTAATGCCATTTTACTAAGTGGATCATTCTTTCCCTAATGGCTTATAATGCTGCCTTCACATATATACTAAGTTTATACATATCTGAGCTTTCTGGATTTCTAAAGGTAATGTATGAATCTATATACCTGTATATTGTATTTCAAGTACTGTAACTTCATAATAGATTTTCAGTAAAATAAGTTTTCAGTACATTTTTTGCCTTTGTCCTTTTTGAAATTAGTATTTTCATTAGAAATACACTACAAATGGAAAGAGCATTTATTGTATGAACTTCCACTTTCAAGTTTTCTATCTCATCGATGATTATCATCATGCTTAGACTGTAGTTACATGAGCTATAAATTTCATGACTTTTATATTTACTATTTCCAATTGCTGACATGTTACCAATTTTAAAAATACTTGGAGAGGAACTTTCTTTTCTATTAGGAAAGGGGAATTTATTATAAATGTAATGCATTTGGGTATGTGATTTCTTTTCAGATTTATGTAGTCCGAATTTTGAGGGAAGGACAGCTTGAACCATCATTTGTCTTCCGGACATTTGACGAGTTTCAGGAGCTACATAATAAGCTCAGTATTATTTTTCCACTTTGGAAGTTACCAGGGTATGTACCCATCAATTGTTAATCCTTTTTTTGTAGGAAATGTTTATAAATATGGATGAAAACCTTGTATTAACACAAAGATTCTATGGACCACATCTGACTTATTTCCTTTGTATCATAAGGACCTAATGCAGAACTAGACATAGTCAAGGAATTGTAATTCTTGTTGAGTGAATAGGCAATGAGTATCTGTTCAAGATATTAAAATATGAGATTTGCCAGACTTGTAGATTTATTTGACTTTGTAATCTTCTGTACCAAAGTAACTAACACAAGATAAATTATAATCTTTGTTTTTAAAAGTCAGATGCTAAATGGTTACAGAAATCATGAGAGCCCATCTGATCTCTGATATAAAAAACTGAAGCAACCATTGAAACTGTTCATTAAAATCTTAGTGCTTACTTTTGTATCTGGTATCCTTTGGGAACTCTCAATTTTAATGCAACTCAGTGAACAATAAATTTCCTGGGTCAAATGATTCATGTTCTTTACAGTCTGGGTTTCACAAGTCAGCTGAGGCAAAGCATGATAGTATGTTTCTGTATGTAGTCCTCATCTTTTTCATTGCCACTACTGTAAGTGGAGTTGAAGTTACTCTTCCAGGCCTCGTGTTATCTGTTATTGGTAGGTTTTACTGGTATCTATGGATGATTAAGTGATAATTTTTGTAGATAACAGATCTGGTAAAATATTTTCACAAATATAGAAATTGAGAATAATAGAAAATAAGTAATAAGCACAGGAAATGTATAACATTCATATTTTGGCCTATAGCTCATAAAGGTTTAATTAGTAATTGAACAGTTTTATCACATGTACTTTGAAGAGAAATCACAGAATTGATTTATAATAGTTTAAGATTTCTCTCTTTAAGTATGTATAAGCAAAAGTGTATCCTAAGTATGCATTGTACTTGATGCTTCAAGATGAAGTGATTTAAATCCCATGTTTTTGTTCTGTAGTTTTCCTAATAGGATGGTTCTGGGAAGAACACACATAAAAGATGTAGCAGCCAAAAGGAAGATTGAATTAAACAGTTATTTACAGAGTTTGATGAGTGCTTCAGCGGATGTGGCAGAGGTGAGCTTCCTAAATAAGAAATAATAACATACTGTGCTTCTTGTGCTACACAAGGTTTCATGAATCTTTTTTTTCTCTTCAATCCTAGTGTGACCTTGTTTGTACTTTTTTCCACCCTTTACTTCGTGATGAGAAAGCTGAAGGAATAGCTAGGTCGGCAGGTGAGCTTGTCTTTTTTTTGTCATGATGTGTAAATTGGTATCTTCTCAGTGAGAATGTAGTAGTGACAGTGATCTTACTTTGCTGCAGTGAAAATAGGAACATACGACGGTGCTTCAAAAATGAATGAAAAACAGAATTAAAAGATGGTGCTCGCTTCGGCAGCATATATATTAACATTGGAATGATAATATATGCATTTTCTGTGAACTTTTTGAAGACCTCCCCAAGCCAATCAATTTCTAGATGAATTTAACTTCCCTATAGAAGTAAAAATCAGTTGCCTGTGAGGTTCTTTGCTTCCCCCCACCTTGCCTCATGCACTATCCCAGGAAGTAAATGCTTTTTGTTACTGCTCAGACAGAATAAACAAGAAAATATTTTTGTTTTCAGATGCTGGTCCCTTCAGTCCCACTCCAGGGCAAATAGGAGGAGCAGTGAAATTATCTGTCTCTTACCGAAATGGTACACTTTTCATCATGGTGATGCACATCAAAGATCTTGTGAGTGATCACAAACAGGGTTGATTGTAGAATAAGCCTATACTTACGTAGGAAGCATTACTGTTAAGGATTGCTTTTCTTTATAGGTTACTGAAGATGGGGCTGATCCAAATCCATATGTCAAAACATACCTACTTCCAGATACTCATAAAACTTCCAAACGTAAAACCAAAATTTCACGGAAAACAAGGAATCCAACATTCAATGAAATGGTATGTTAAAATCGTTTCTAGTAAGTTTTTTTTCCTAATTTTTTTTTTGATTTGTTTATTTTTATTGGAAAGTCAGATTTACAGAAAGATCTTCCATCCACTGGTTTACTCCCCAAGTGGCTGCAAGAGCTGGATCTGTGCCAATTCAAATCCAGGAGCTTCTTCTGGGTCTCCAGTGCTTTCCCAGGCAACAAGCAGTGTTCCGGTCAACTTAGCCGGTAGCATGGACACGGCGAGGGTCAGGGAGTCAGACACCGACAGGAGACCAGTAGTGGTGGAAGAGATCTCTCTTGGCCTCCCTTTATTCAGCCATATATATACCTTTCCCCCAAGCCTCTAGCAGAACAATAGGATGCTAATGAGTCTGACAGACAAGGTCAGACAAGGTCTTTCTTTTTTGCAAGATCATTTTATTACAATATCTTACCTCACTTTCTTCCTTTCTCATTTTAGCTAGCTATTTTCATCTTAAGTTTTACTGCCATGTAATTTCTGGTTCTTTATTTTTATCCAATGATTGCATCTATTTTTGTGCATCTCTGTCAGACATTAAAAGGAACTATAAAGCCGTCTAACACACTTATAATACAGAACGCACTTCAGAAGTATTTAAGCAAATTCCATCATCGTGACTGATGTCTCATTATAGTCACTCTTTGGTTAATATTTTCACCTGTATTTCACTTAAAATATTCCAAGAAACCAACAAACTTTAATTTATAATTAATTACTTCTTTCTTCCTTTCTTGTAGCTTGTGTACAGTGGGTACAGCAAAGAAACCCTCAGACAGAGGGAACTTCAACTAAGTGTACTCAGTGCAGAATCTCTGCGGGAGAACTTTTTCTTAGGTGGAGTAACCCTGCCTCTGAAAGACTTCAACTTGAGCAAAGAGACAGTCAAGTGGTATCAGCTGACTGCAGCAACTTACTTATAAACTGGTGAATTTCTGAGCTTTGGAAGCAAGAATAATTATCAACTTGTGTGTCCATGCACACACACTGGTGAACTCTGTATAGTATTTTTATACTTGAGCACAAATTATAAATACTTGCTGAATTATAACATATTTGTTGGACCAACAGTCACATAACTAATTTTTATGAGTTTCTGAAAGCCATTGCTGTCTAAAAGTCATTATATTGAATGCTGTAAACCCTACATGTAATATGTAATAGTAAGTCCTCAAAGGGACTTCCAGATCATACCATGTCAGTTTCGCCACCTCGTTGTGTTGTTTCCCATACAGACATAGCCTGTTTGTTTTCCTGGATGCACCTTCTACAGCCTTTACCACTGTGTATGCTCACAAACACCAAAGATGCAGAATGTTACCATAAAATGCAGCTGCTAGTCACAGGGCTGAAAAGCAAAGCACAAGTAGATCACTATCTTAAGAACTACTATGGAGTTTGTAGACCTAGGGAAAAAAATACACTGTTTTTCTACTCATTGTTAAAGCCTTCTCCAGAATAAGTGCCAATCACTAAAGTTGTAAATAATGGTGCCTTACTTTATATGCTTCCCTGGCACTTCATTCTGATTTCTTTCCTGACTAAAGAAGTAGTTCTCACTCGTTTTCAGTGAAATTACGTACTAATGTTTTCCCCACAAAATGATCATTTTTCTACTTGTGATGTGTGATTTACTTTAGTCATTTTTGTTGCCCCATGACTAAATGAGATTCATTGATACAGTTGTATACTAATTTCCATCATTCCATTATAATCCTACATTTATTCCCAGACATGTGAACTGCAATTTGGTCACACCACCTCTATATATCTATATACATCACTCCCTATATAAACAAATGCAAGTTCTTCAGCCATGTGCCCTTTTTCCCGTTTGCTACAAAAACTCCTGAAGTAGAGAAGACTTCATAGGAGGCTCAGGATAAGGATTCTAAACTCCAAACCTCTATAATAGTTCATCTTTGAAACTGTCTTACATTTATAAACATTGTCCATTCATATGGATTGTTGTTTTCCATACTATGATATGAAATCAGAGGACAGGATTAAAATTATTCAATAGTAACCATTAAAAATAAGATTTGTTTTAGTTTTTCAATGTCAGACATGATTTTGTTTAAATATAGGTGTATATATAGTAATTTTCATGGTTAGAATAAAAATTCAGATATTTTTTAAATGGTAATAGAGATCACAGCAATCTGGTTGCTGTAAGAAAACCAACAAAATATGCATTGAAAGGTACCATGAGAGAAAGGACAATCTCCAGTTCAACTGCCCAGAATAGATTTTTTTTTTTTTTTTAACAAACTGTGCAAGGGTTTGATGTTAATGGTGATACTTGCAAAGCCGAAATGAGAGTGAGGATCTATCAGTGCAATGGCTTAAAGGCAAAAAAAATGAAAAAACTTGAATTTTTTTGGTGCCTAACACTAATGGTCCATTTGTAGGAAAACCTATGAGTAGGATATATTAATGTCTGTTTTTTTTATGTTGAAATGTGTTGTCTAATAAGTTAATTAAAATATATATCAAAGCTCCACTCTTTGCTTTTTCCACATACAGTTAACTCTTGTTAAAATGTCTGAGCAGCTTTGCAAATGTAATATAGCACTAGAAATTTTCACTGAAGCTTTTGAAATCTAACTCCATTCCATGAGTTGTCAGCCACTGTAAAAAAAAAAAGAGAAGTGTACTGTCTTGGTGTAAGGTCATGATTAATTGGACTCAACATGGACTGCCTTTTCGCAGTCTGTTACAATAGTGTCTTTTCATACAATTAGAGCCTAGACTATGTGAAATCACTTTTTAGTTACAGGAAACCTGGAATCATATCTAAGAGTATATATTAAGACTAATGCTGTATAGTTAACAAGAGGTCAGAATAAGTGGTAATATTTCTCTTTATTTAATTCATTTTGTGCCTTCTTTGGTCATTAAAATATCCATACATTTGTCTTACATGTACCTTAATATAAATTATTCCTTTGTGAAATGCTGGTCTGCAGCCCAAACCAAAAAAAAAACAAAAAAAAAAAAAACAAAGGAGGGCAGCCTCTTTGCACTACCACTGCTACTCAAACAATTTTAAATGCCTGAATTTTCAAACATTTTTTTAAAGGCTTAAGGTTAAGCAAACTAAAAAAAAAAAAATTTAATAAGCAAACTGGCCAAGACACTAATTTTTTGTGTATGATCACAATATTTTATTCTTCTCTTTATTGAGTGAAAATAATTATGTTACATATAAATTCTCTACCAGAAGCTTTCTCCTTCCCAGTGTTTAAGGGTTTGAAGATAATGGTTCACTCCCAAGGACCTATTGTTTTCTCTGCTGAGGAACTCAGTGTAGACCTGGCACTGGTGTCTCTCACTCCCTTTTTATGAATTTGTAGATAGCTGAAGGTTCACAGACCATTGGTTATGTACAGTGAGGCTTCAAAACATTCGTGGGAAAATGGAATTAAAAAGTAATGCACATTTTCTTTGAATGTTTTGAAGCCCCCTCACATTCTTTCTTCAAATTAAAGATGTATAAAAGTTTCCTGTATCTTGCCTTAAATGTGTTAACTATTATTTCTAGAATTCAAGTGTTGTGTTTTTAAAAAGAATATCCTCACTTTCGTTAGACTTCAGATCCAGAAGGCTGACGCCCCACTACCCTAATCCATAGATGAAACTCACATGCTGTTTGACTAGCAGTGCAAATATGAACTAGTCTCATCTATAAGAACCAAATACTTTAATTATATTAAGATAGTGCATAAAGATGTATAGTATTTTTATTAATACTTTAAATATATTAAGTGGATTGAATGTGACTTTATAACTGTACTATGATTGTATTAAAATATTTCTGGAATAAAGAAACTCTTCTATCATTTCTTTCATTGTTGAAATAATTTTTGGCTCCAAAGTATAATGTGAATTTAATATTATTGTTCCTTGCATATCACTCAGGCATTTATTCAGTCTAATTATTCCTAAATTTCAGAATTAGCCTGTCAATCCTAAAAATGCCACATAGAGAGCCTGGTTTGTGAAGCTCAGGGAGCCTGGTTCTGTGAAGGTCTGCAATGCTGCCACTCTGCTTCATCCCCAGCAGCTTTTTAGATGTGAAATGTTTTTGTGAATACAGTCCCTGGCCTTGGGTATTTTACTTAAATAATCAGTACAGCAACGAACAGCCACATCACAGACCTGTGTAAAGAAATGTTTGGCGTTGCTGGTATCCTATATGGGCACCAGTTCGTGTCCTGACTACTTATTTTCCAATCCAGCTCCCTGCTTATGGCCTTGGAAGGCAGTGGAGGATGGCCTAAGGCGTTGGGACCGGACCCTCCTACATGGGAGACCTAGAAGAAGTTCCTGGCTCTGGATTGCCTCAGCTCTGACCGAACCTTCATCCTAGAAAGTGAGCATGAGGTTGTGCTTCTCTGATCCTAGGATGACATGCAAAAGGATGCAAAAATCATGGAATATCAATTACAACCAGTTCTTGCAATGAAAAACTGAATTCCCGTCAGACAGATTTTAAAGAAAAAAATCTTTATTGCATCCTTAGTCGTTAAAAACCTTATTCCGCAAATTTCAAACATAGAAAATCAGACAATATAATTAACTCCACGAATGAACAACTTATCACAAAGCTTCAGTGATTATTAGCTAAGACTGACCTCATCAGATCATTTTAAATAAAATCTATTTTTAAATCTAGGATTCTTAAATCTGTGGGTCAAGAACCTTCAGTTCTTAATATTTGGTAGCCTTTGTTTTGTTTTTTTTTATTTGAGAGGCAGAGTTAGAGAAATCTGTACACTGGTTTACTCCCCATATAGCTGCAATGGTCAGGACTGGGCTGGACTGAAATGAGGAGCTTCAACCTGGTATTCCACATGCGAATAGGAGCCCAAGGATCTTGTACCATTTTGTGCAACTTCCCCAGGCACCGTAGCAGGGAATTGCTTGGGGCGTGGCACTCAGGATTCCAGCTCCGTGGGCAGCAACTTTACCTCCTGTGTCACAGCACTGGTCCCTCTACTAGCTTCAAATGCTGTATTTGCTGCATTCTACTTTTCTTTTGGAACTCAACAAATGTATATTAGGCCTTCCCAATTTTATCAATATCTTTGGCTTCTCTCCACCTTTCCTTATTTTCTTTTTCCAATGTCTACTGTATTCTCAGTCATTAGCTGTGACAGCTTTTCCAATGTACTTCTTTTGTTTAGCTTTTTAATCCATCAAGTTTTAAATTTTAGCTATCTGATGTAGCACAGCCAGTGATTCCACCATCTGCATTCCATGTGGGAGCTGGCTTCCCACACTGGGAGACCCAGCTGAAGTGGCTCCTGTTGGCTGGCGTCAGCCTGGCTCAGCCTTGGCCCTTGAGACAGTCTGGGGAGTGAACCAGCAGGTGGAAGATCTGTTTTGCCCTCTCTCAGTAACTGTGCCTTTCCAATAAATTAAAAAGGTAAAGATTACACACACAATGGAGGGGAAAGACATTTGAAAATAGTACATCTGATTAGGATCTAGTAATCAAAATATATGATGAACTCTTACAACTCAACAATAAGGCAACCCAATTTTAAAATGGTCAGAGGATTTTAAAATGTTTCTCCAAAATAAACATTCTCCAAATACATATATGTTCAACATTAATCCTTAAGGAAATACAAAGTCATGACTTCACACTGGCTAAGTCGGCTAAAATGAAACAAGGAAGCACTGGCGAGGACGTGAAGGAATTTGTTTTTTGTTGTTGGTGGTGGTGATTTTTTTTTTAAGATTTATTTATTTATTGGAAAGTCAGATATACAGAGAGGAGGAGAGACAGAGAGGAAGAGCTTCCATCCGATGATTCTCTCCCCAAGTGGCCGCAATGGCCAAAGCTGTGCCTGAGGTCTACTTCTGGGTCTCCCTCGCAGCCGCAGGGTCTTCTTTCCCAGGCTGGATTAGAACCGGCGCCCATTCGGGATCCCGGCATATGTGCAAGGCAAAGACTTCAGCCGCTAGGCTATCACGCAGGACTGGCCTTGGCAATCTTGCTCCCCAAACCCTCTCTTGTCGGTAACGTACTGCTTGTGACCAGGGCCACCAAGGTCTAGTTCAAACTCCCTGACGGAGTCTTCACCATCAGAGACCTCTGGTCTGAGAGATCCGGGCTTACAAACAAATGGAAGAACTAGCGGGGCTGCAGCCACAACCATTACCTTCAGTTGTTGCACTAGTAAGACGATGGTGGTAGTGCGGACTCGATGCAGGGTGAGGAAAGCTGAGCGATCGAATGCTGAGGTAAAGCGCGGCACTGGCGAATGAATGAACACTCCTATGCCGCTGCTTTGTAATTCCACCGGCTTACCGCAAGTCCACTCCGGGCCCAGGATTCGAACCCGTGTCCGAGTGGCAGTCCCGCCTGTGTGGAGGGAACTTTGATGGGAGGCTGCAGTCACACCCGCTTTCCCGCTCTCGCCCGGGACCAGCTCGAACGCCGGGCACGCCGGGAACGACTGAGGGAAATGCCTCCTCCCCGCAAGGCATGTCGGGATATGTAGTCTCGCGAGCGCAGTGGCCTGCTGCGCAGCGGAGCTCCACCTCCTGCGTGTGAGGTCACTTCCTGCGTACCGGGTGGCTTCTCGCGGCGTTTCCTGTCTCGCTCTCTCTCTGCTGCCTGTCCGCCGCCATCATGGGTCGCATGCACGCTCCCGGGTGAGCTCGGGCTGCTGGGCCGGGTGCCTGGGCTGCTGCTGCGGGGGTCGGGACGGGAGGAAAGCGGGTCAAGGGAGGAGGTGCTGAGCCGTGGGGACCCGGGCCGCCATCTCACCCGCTGTATCTGTTGTAGGAAGGGCCTGTCCCAGTCGGCACTGCCCTATCGCCGCAGCGTCCCCACCGTAAGTAGCACGCGGGGGCCGGGCGGGGCCGGGGCTGCTGTGCTCGCCCGCCGTCCCCTTCTTCTCAACCCCCAGGACCCCTCTGCTCTTTTCCGTAGTGGCTGAAGCTGACGTCCGACGACGTGAAGGAGCAGATTTACAAACTGGCCAAGAAGGGCCTGACTCCCTCCCAGATCGGTGAGCGCGCGCGGGGGGCGGCGGTGGGGAACAGGTAGAATTTTCCAAAGATGGCAGTAAGCCCTGGCTGCGTGGCCTCCCACGCGAGCACCTAACGCCGTGCACGCAGTGGGTCCCACTTCTCTACCCCCGGTTTGCACTGGAGGCCACAGGTGTCCCCCTTGCCCGGTGGCACAGCTGGTAAGTGTAGCTGTAGGGTTTGTTCCTACACGACGTGAAGCACCCTCAGCCGCATACTGTGTGCGCCTCAACTCCGCGAGGCGCTCTATCAGGGCAGGTCTGCCTGCTGCGTGCTCTTGAGGATGCCTGGCGGTTTTGTTGTTGTTGTTTCATAAGGCATAAAATGCCTGTCCTTTTAAAGCTTGTGGTGTGATGGAGGTGTGACAAAATAATTAAAATAGTGAGAATTTATTTGAGGGTTAAAGGGAGGAACATGCCGGGTTTAACAAGAGTGGTAGAAATTCCTCAGGCTTAGTTTTGCTAACAGAACAAGGGTAAATGCAGGGCTCCGGTTGCTGAGGTCAGCTGTATTGGGCATGCTCACTGTGATGATCGTCTTCCAACATTCGCAGTTTCCACCAGAAAGATTCTCCTTAGTGTTGGGCAAACCTTCCTTGGATGTCTGAGTGAGCAGTCTCGTGCAGGTTTCTGATGCACAGAAAGCCCTCCCATTGGGGAGTCGTGGCATGCTGTGCTGCAGCCTTTTTCGCGCTGGAAGGTCACACAACACGTCTCTTTCAGGTGTGATCCTGAGGGATTCCCACGGTGTCGCTCAGGTGCGTTTCGTGACAGGCAATAAGATCTTGAGGATCCTGAAGTCCAAAGGCCTGGCTCCTGATCTCCCTGAGGATCTGTATCATTTAATTAAGAAAGCCGTTGCTGTGCGGAAGCACCTGGAGCGGAACAGAAAGGTGAGAAGCAGAAATAACTGCTGGGACCAACTGTAGTTGCTGGGACAAGTTCCTAACAGGAGTGGATCTTTGCTGTTAATTCCCCCCACCCAGTGCAGGCTACCCAGTTGCTTAGACACGTGATCGCATTTTCCGGGGGTGTTTCTTTTCCAGCCCATTCCCATCAAGTCTTTGCAGAGAAGCCTCATATTCCCCCCACATTCATCTAAGCAACCCTCTCATTCTGCTCCAGAATGTTGGCTAATGTTTCATTAGAATAAGTGCTCTGTGGCCCTCCCATTTCCTTCCTCAGTAGCTGTTTGGTAGTCGTTTGTATGGAATGGTTTTTCTTAAATTGTTTCACAATTATCTTTAGGATAAGGATGCCAAGTTCCGTCTGATTCTGATAGAGAGCCGCATTCACCGATTGGCTCGATACTACAAGACTAAGCGGGTCCTCCCTCCCAATTGGAAATAGTAAGTATACCTTTTTGTCAGGGGCTCCAGGAATTGGCCAGATAGTAGGTACTAACTCAAAGGACTTATCAGTAAATATTTTACACTCTAAGCTTGGCCATAGCAGGGGGAAAGCAGCCATGAATGCATAATCAAATGGTCCGGCCTGCAACAAGCTCTCACTTCCTTTGGATCAAGAGTGAAGGTTCACTTCTGATCTTTGCTTCCAGATGTTAGCTTGGTGTGGGTTTTTGCCTGAATTGCTCTCTGGTGATTGAGGCGCAGTTAATCAGAAAGGTTTTTCCCAGCGTTGGCCAGTTCTTGCTTGACACAGTGTGCTGCGCACAATAAAGTTGATTGACTCCACCACTTGATGCTCTTCCCCCTGTAGTTGGTTTAATTTAGCCATCTCTGAATAGCTTCCTTAGCAGGCAGGTTGTGTGAATGAATGGATACTGATGAACAGTGTTAATCCTGATTTCCTCACACCCCTCCCCCCCCCCTTTTTTTTTCCTTTTCAGTGAGTCATCCACAGCATCTGCCCTGGTGGCATAAATTTGACTCTGTATTCAAGCAATAAAATCATTGTTTGAAAAAAATGTTGGTTTGTGGGATTTTTTTCCTTGTTTAAAAAAAAGTATAATATGTGTTGGTGATGGATGTGTGTTTTGGATTTTTTGATGGGGAATTCATGTGCTTTCATAAGAAGTGGTAATATACGGTATTAATTTTCAACTTTTTACTGCCCCTAAGCTAGTTTAAACCGCATAACCTGATTGATGGTTCCTGTGCACAGAGGTGTTTTAAAGATAAAATTTTACTCGGTTTCACAGAAAATTTTTCTTTTTAAAATTTCACAGAAAACTTACTAGGAAAAAGTGTGCACTCATTTTGAGGGCAGCATTATAGAAAGCACACTTCATTTGCTAACTTCCTCCAGATGGCTACAGCTGCCAAGGCTGGTCCAAGCTAGTCCCTAGGCCATCTGATACTGACTTCCCAGATCCAGGATGCTGGAGCAGAAGTAGAATAGCCAGCCTCACACCTGTGCTCCAGTATGGGTCGCTGGCATCAGCAGCTTAACATGCATGGCCCTTCCATGAACTTGTGGAAGGAACCTTTTAAGGCCCAATGAAGCTTCAGGACAGTGTCGCTGAAAGGAGAATCTGGTACAGAGAAACCTTGGATACTGAGGAAGAGGTGACAACAGGGAACAGGAAGTGAGCACAGTTCTGTCTTGGGCCCAGAGTTCTGGAGAAACATCAGGTTCCTGGACTTTGCAGCTTATTGAAAGGTTTGTTTTATTTATGTGATGTAGAGTACCTTAGTGGTGAGTGGCTATGTGCAAGTAAGGGAAACTGAAGTAAGTGTATTACCCTAATCTTGAACATTAGATAACTTGAAATGGAGAATTCCTTAACTTTTGATTTCTTTGGGCTAGGACCAAGAACTGGGAGCTAGGTATCCACACATGAGTGACAGGGAACCAATTACTTAATCACCCCTGCCTCTTGGGTACCCATTAGCAAAAGCATGTTAACTGAACTGGAGATGGGAAGTGAAATCTGGGAATATAGAGAATGCAGTTGTGTAGTAAGCCCTGGTTGGTTTCAGATTTTTTTTTAGTACTTTATTTGACATAAGCAATTTCCTTAAATTAAGCCTTATTTATTAGAAAGTCAGAGAGGAAGATCTTCCGTCCAATGATTTATTCCCCAAGTGACTACAACAGCCAGAGCTGAACCAATCGAAAGTCGGGAGCTTCTGGGTCTTCCACTCGGGTGCAGGTTCCCAAGGCTTTGGGCCATCCTTAATTGCTTTCCCAGGCCACAAGCCGGGAGCTGGATGGGAAGTGGGGCCGCTGGGACATGAACCAGTGTCTGTAAGGGATCCCAGGACAGGTAGGGCTGGTACTCGAGCTGCTGGGCTTGGGAAGGTTGATTACAGAGAAGAAAGATATCTTCTATCCACTATTTCATTCAAGTGGTCACAACTAGTCTGAAGCCAGGAGCTTCTTCCAGGCTTCCCAGTAGTGTAGGGTCCCAAGTCTTTGTACCATATTCTCTACTATTCCAGGCCACAAGCCAGGGACTTGGATGAGAAGAACATTTGGGACACAAACTGGTGCCCATATGGGTACTGGTGCTTGTAGGATGTGGAGTTAGCCAGTTGAACTATTACGCTTCATCCTAAATCAGTATTGTGTATTTCTGGCTCTGTGACAGGTTGATGAAGTTCCATAGTTGCCATCCTGTAAGATACATGTTAAAAAGTTAATGATTACCTTATTTTCCCATTTGTTTATTAAAGCTGACTTACTATTATGTTTAATGAGATCTGAATTTAATCAGGAGATCTTTCATTTTCTCCACAGGAGAGAAATATATCTGTGCTCATGCAAGTTTGACCAATGTCTTTTGTGCCCACCATGGTGCACTGTAACAACTGAATTAGCTAAATGAGGACTCAACCTAGCTATTTCCATATGGGATTCAGGCCATTTAAATTGCTAGAATAAATGTGGCATAATATTTTTTATTGCTCATAAACTCTTCAGCTTCTATTTGGAAGTAAATGCCATAAGCTTGTGTTTGATTTGTATCCTTGTTACATAGTCATGGTTATCTGGTACATACTGGTCCTTCATAAATACATAAAAGCACATAAAACGGCAGACCAAAGCAGAAAACCCAGAAGCTTGAGTCTCCCCCATGGTTGGCAGGAGCCCAGTACGTAAGCCATCTGCTATCTCCCACAGTGTGCATTAACCATAATGTGCCATAATGCCTGCCCCTGTTAATTTTTCTTCCTCTAAAATGAAAGAATTCTTTTTTTAGAAAAAAGATTATTTATTTATTACAAAGTCGGATATACACAGAGGAAAACCCTCTGTCTGGTGATTCACTCCCCAAGTGAGCGCAACAGCCGGCTGGTGCTGTGGCAATCCAAAGCCAGGAACCAGGAGCTTCTTCTGTGTCTTCCACGTGGGTGCAGGGTCCCAAGGCTTTGGACCATCCTCCACTGCTTTCCCAGGCCACAAGCAGGGAGCTGGATGGGAAGTGGAGCTACCGGGATTAGAACCGGCATCCATATGGGATCCTGGCGCGTTCAAGGCAAGGACTTTAGCCACTAGGCCATGGTGCCGGGTCCCTAAAATGAAAGAATTCTTATCTACTGGTTTTCTCCCTAACAATAGCCAGGGCTAGGCCAGCGAAATCCAGGAGCCAGGAACACTGTCCAGGCCTCCTACAGGAGTGACAGGAACCCACACTTGGGCCTTCATGTGCTGTCTCCAGGTATGTTGCTAGGCAGCTGAATAGGAAGTGTGGAGCAGCTGGGACTCAAACCAGACACTGCAGTAGGAGTGTGGGTGTCCCAGCGATTTAGCCACATGTGCCACAATACCAGTTCCCATGAAAGGCTAAGCAGTATATAGAAAGAGCTCTTGATTTGCCAGTTCCGGGATCCATCCAGGTAATCTAAATATGCAGGCCATCTGCTGCTGCCCTGTGTGCAGTAGCAGGGAAGTGAATCCAGCGTAGTCGCTGGGACTTAAACCAGTGCTCCAGTAGGGGAGTCCAGGGTTGCTGGCGGGAGCGTAACTTGATGCAGCAACGACACCTAGCCTCCTATTTGTAATTGGTAGCTTGTTTCTCTTGGTGCTATTCTCCATCCAGGACCTCTCACCCGTGGCTCCACGTGAGACAGGTTTCTCTGGAGAACCACACTTGGAAGGCTTTGCACTCGCCAGCAGTGTGGGGTTCTTGCACCCCCATGGCCAGTGTCCCTCTTTCCTTGGTGACACTCTAGTGTCTTCCCTTGAACCTCGCTGCTTCTGTGTTTAAATCATTTATACATCTAGAACAAATATTATCTGATGCCCAGAGCTAGGTGTGAACTGGTCTCCACTTCCCTTCTTGGATCTCCATAATACCTGAATTTTTTATTCCAGGCTCAGCTTTTGATCTTGGTAGCCCAGTTCCCCCAGATGGCTCCATATTTGTGAAATGGCAATTCATTCTTGAGCCAGAAGCCCTTTTCTACTTTTTTCTAACATCACGTCTCTCCCTGATCACCAAATCTTCTTGCACCACTTCACATTAACACTGTTGTATAAGTCATCTTGCCCTGGCTATTATTAAGAGCCTCACTGCTGTCTTGCTGGACTCTACCCCCAGGTCTTCTCCATACCCAGTAACCCAGAGTGATCTTTTAAAAATGCAAATCATCTTGGCCCACATTCTCAGGAACCCCCAGTGGCTTCCCAACTCAGAAAAATCTAAA